TTTACCCAGGCTGAAAGTGCAGGGGGCACTTATAAGCCCAGTCCCATTCCTGATCAGAAGAGGAGATTCAACCTGCACCGTTTTTTCTGACCGGGATTGGTTCACCACTCCTCAGACATTTGGTGGCACCTCTCTCCAAATTAGGGCTGAACTTGGACACCTGATTGGCTTAATCCATCATTTCTCATGGTGCAATAATATTATATTATATTCATATACTACAACTTTTCAACCATCCTCTAATTGATGAGCACTCCCTTAATTTCTAGTTCTTTGCTAGTACAAATAGATATTTATAAATAAATATATATAATATATATATATATATATTTCTATACATATGTGTCTTTTTCCTCTTTCTTTGATCTCTTTGGGATATATACCTAGTGGCAGTATCAGTGTTTCAAAGGGTAGGCAAACTGACTTTTGGGGCCTACTTCCAAATTGCTTTCCAGAATGGTTGGACCAATTCACAGTTCCACCAACACTACATTACTGTGCCTGCTTTCCCACAGCCCCCTCAGCATTTGCCATCTTTGTCAATCCAGTGGGTGTGAGGTAGACCTCAGGATTGTTTAAATTTGCATTTCTCTAATTATTAGTGATTCGGAACATTTATTCATAAGGTTGTTGACACCTTGCTTTTCTTCTTTTGAAAATTGCCTATTGATATCCTTTGTGGGGTATCTTTTGTGGGGTAGTTTAACATCTCCCTTCATCATTCAGCAGCTCAAAAATATGAGTGGAAGTGCTAGGTCCTCACCACCACTGGAAGAACACATGAAGCAAAATAACCCCTGGTAAGGGATGCCCTCTGAGGTTCCTGCCCATTCTTAGGTTCTGTGGGAACACAATACAAACAAAAGGCACCTGAATGACTAGGTTGGACACTATGGGTAATGGGGTGAAAAGGGGTCCCCAACATACTCTGATCCCACCTTCCTCGACTCTTTTTTCCCCAGAGTCTCTCCTGATCCTTGGCCTTATTGGGAGCAGCAGCCACCAGGCCTGTCCCCTGGGTCAGTTCCCTTGTGGTAACACTACCATCTGCCTTCCTCAGTTCCTTCACTGCAATGGCCGTCAAGACTGTGCCAATGGGGCTGATGAAGAAAACTGTGGTGAGCCTTGCCCTTTCCCATTCTCAGGTCTCCTCCTCCTCAGCATGGCAGGGGGTCCAAAACTGGCCAGACCCTCGGGGGCTCTCTTCTAGCTTATAAACCCAAGCTCCTGCCTGGAAGTCTTATTGGCTCAGGCTGTCTTCTGCTCTGTCCTCTGGGGGTTGGTTGCCATTCTCTTTGAGGAGAGGAAGGAACAAGAGAGGAACATTTTTCACTCTCCCAGGCTCTGCCACTTGCCTTACCCTCCCTGCTTCCCTCAGAGTTCCTGTTTCCTCATCATTCACATGGAGTCTTTGGGTTGCATTTGGGTGATGTGAGTGATGGTCCTGCTTACACGCCTTCTTCCTTCCCTTTGGTCCTTCTAGTGGACAGAAGTGGGTGGCCACACCTCTTGGACCTGCTTCAGAGAACAAAGGGAGGCCGAATGAGGACTGAAGAGAGACTACAGGAGTGCAGTGAGTATCTGCCAGGCAAGGAATCAGGGCTTGGTGCTCCCCTCTCTAAAGCTGAGTCTAGCCCGCTCTCCAGCCTCCCTTCTCTGCATTACTCACGCAGCCCCAAGGCATCGAGTGCCAGGCTTGGAGTTAGGGAGACCTGGCTGCAAGACCCACCTGCCACATAGCAGTTGTGTGACCCTGGGCAAGTCCCTGCACTTCCCCCATCCCAATGAAATCACAGGCTGGACCGAATGAATATAATGATAATACTAGTACCAAACAACTCCCTATCAAGACTAGCCTGGCCAGGCTATGTGTAGAATATCAAGTTCCATTCTGAAAGCCACAATGACAAACTGGGATGTTAAGGGACTGGAAACCTCCTTATATGAGGAGGAATTCAAGGGAGTCGTAGAGTAAGAACTACCCTGAATCTGGAGTCTAGACCCTGGTTTGAATTCTAGCTTTCCCACCAACTCCTTGTGTGACCCTAGGCAAGACATTGAAGCTCTCTGGGCCACGGCATCCTCCTTTGTAAACTGAGGGCAATGGACCCTTCCAACTCTAAAGTCTGTGATCCTATAAACTGGGGATATTTAATCTAAGAAAGAGAAGCTTTATGGGGGATATGGGAAGGGTCCTCAAGTATCTGAAAGGTTAGCCATGGCAAGGAGATTATACTTTCACGTGGCTTCAGAATGGAGTCAAACCAAGAGGGAAGGTCCAGTAGCTGGCACAGTGCCTGGCACATAGTAGTGCCTGGGTCTGATTGTTTGATTACAGGAGTGCAGATAAATACTGGCAAAACACAATGAAAAAAGGAACTGTCTCAAAGTAGAATGTATTGGAAGGTATTGAGATCCCCATGACTGAAGGCCTCTAAGTAGAAGTTGGACCTCGTAAGAAAGGACTCATGATGTCTCAGGCAGGAGCTGAGAGGCTGCCTCTCAGGCCCTCCCAACTCTTAGATCTGAGGCTTTGCTTAGATTGGGGGATGGGCACCATTATCTGCCTGTGATCCTCTGTCTCAGGAGCAATGCCTCAGTGCCTCTTCTCTATGGGAGGCCCCAGAAAGGGTTCCCAGGTGGCCTTTGTGCAGCCCTTTTTATCCGATCTTCATTATCTCCTAATTGCCTGATCTTCTACGTTTCTTTTGTTAAAGGGGCATTATTTGTTTAATGACTACAGGCTGTGTGTCTCAGGGGGTCTTAAGGCTGAGCTGACATCCCTCCTGTGCTTTTTCTCTATGTCTGTGCTTTCTGACCCCCCTCCCTCCCTCACCACCCCCGCCCTGCCCTGGGTTGGCCCCAACTCCTGTGCCACCTCATTGTGAAGGCTAAGGCTCCTCTCCGTGCCCAGGGTTCTCTGGTATTTCCTCCACTTACTTTCTGCCATCCCTGGTCATTGCTGAAGCTTCCTCTTACTTGCTTCCCTCTCCTTTCTCTCCTGTTTCCAGGATAGAGATAATGTGATAGGAAGATGAAATGAGATAAGAAGCGTAAGGCACTTAGTACAGTGCCTGGCACCTAACAGGTTCTACATAAATGTTGTGATGATTATGATTATTGGTGATATAACAACTTGCATTTCTGTAGCACTGGAAAGTGGACAAAGGACTTTCTCCACAAAAGCCCTATTAAGTAGAGAATGGCAGGATTATTCTTCTTCCGATGAGGAAACTGAGGCTAAAAGAGGTTAAGTACCTTGCCCGAGATCACATCGTCCCCAAGCCCCTCTAATATAATGCAGAGCTTTTCTCTCTTATTCCAGCACGCTTCAGGGTCATCAGATATTCTACCATCTATTAAGGATGCTGTTGTTAGTAAGCCTGTCCCTTGCAGGTGAGAGCTATAGCTCTTTTTCAGTTAGTTCTTTCTCCTCGTGGCATGAAGGTGACTCTGGGCTCTTGAAGCTCATGGGAGCAAAGAACAAATGTCCTCAGGTCCTACACAATGGGAGAGGCTCTGAGTGCGAGCCCAACAACGTGCTATGGAGCTTGTGTCCAAAGACCAGGAAAGGAGTCATTCCTACAAGGGAATGAATGTTTGTTTGTAGACATGGGAATCTGCGTCAGAGCTCAAAGAGACTTCAGAGGCTGCACCCTCAACAACACACTTACCCGGTGGCTACCCAGGACAGACATTTCACAAGTTATGTGCAAGATGTTGTCCTTGGGAATATACAAATATGAAAACAATAGCCTGCCTTCAAAAAGCTTACAATCTAATTAAATGTAAGATAAGCCATACAAAATACTGAGTATAGAGTGAGAAGATTGAGGTTCAAATTCAAACTCTGCTACTTAGCACCTCAGTTTCCTTCTCAGTAGCATGAAAGGATTCCAGCAGGTGGGCATGAGAGCACGGATGTACTTCAAGATCACAGATTTGCACTTTTTCCCCATGTGCTTATTCACTTCTACATGCCATAGGACACCATTCTCATGGACCACATACACACACTCACATACTCCATGTATGGGTCCTTCCTCCTTGGCCCCTGTGCCATGGCCTCTCCATGCTATCAGAGGATCTGAGTGGAGCCTCTATTAAAAACGGTGAAAGAGAGGCTGGAGGTGGGGGGGGAGGGTCACATGTAAAGGCAAGGGATTCAGTAGGCAAAGACTTATGGAGTGGTTCTCTTCAGAGCTGAGCTCCCTTGAACTCCACCCTACAGATGGTTCTCATCTGTGTATTGCTTTAATATATACCAAGTACTTCACAACAAACAAAAAGTGGGAGGTGAATTTATGCCCATTTTATGGAGGCAGAAACTGGAGTTCAGAGAGAGAGACAACTTTCTCACAGTCAGTAAGCCTGTGTCAGAGATGTCTTAAACTCAACTTCCATGGCTATAGATGCAAAATTCTTGCCCCAGCCCCACACGGGCCCACAGGCATTCTTTCAGGAAGTAAGGGAGATGGATAAAACACACAAAATGTGAGGAAAAGCCTGCCTAGACCTAGGATCTCACCCTCCAAGCTCCCTGATCTAAACAGAGAAGCCAGCCCAGCTTCCATGACTAACTGGTCTCTGTCCCCACGCTTCTGCCATCTGCAATGGGGCCGAGCACCTCAGAGCCCAGTTAACAGGTCCCAGCTGCTTGGAATAATCCATTTCTACCTATTGCCTCCCAGGGTTGGTGTGAGAGCCTTCTGGTGCTAGAGAAATGAGATCTAAGGTGCCTATCATACTAGGCCTATAGAGGGAGGGGGGAAGGGAGGAGGATGAATGAAATGCCTTCTAAGGGAACTGGGGACAATCAGCACAAGAGCTCTTCTCTGAAACCCTGAGCCCCTCACCAGCTGTCTGCCTTCTGAAGCTTCTCTCCTTGAGCCCCTGGGCCCTCTGTTCTCTCATTCCCAGGACTGGAGTTCTACCCCAAGGGATGCAAGTGCTGGGGGCACACGGTTGATTGCATGGCTCAAGGGTTGAGCAGGGTGCCGATGGATTCTGACAAGAACAACGTGTCTCTTCTGTGAGTTCCAAGCCTGGCTTTGGGAGGGTAGGGAGGCTGCAAGTAGAGATCTAGATGGCCCAAGCTGGATGGGCAGGGCTGTCCAGACATGAGCCCCTTCAGGCATCTCCAGATGGCACCCAATAGGCCCAATCGCCTTCCTGTGTGCCTCTTCCACTCGCTCTCAACCAGGAACACCAATAAGGGCAGGAGTGAAGGGTCACCACCTTACAGTCCCCATCTCCCACCCCCTTCCCTCCCAAAAAATAGGACAATGTAGCAAGACTGCAGAAAAGATTGAGGAGGGGCAGAGTCAGTCCCCGAGAGAGCCTCCCCCCTCCACCATGTTGTTGGGCCCAGTTTGGAAAGGGATGCTATGAGCCCGCTCATGCGGGAGAAGAAGGTGGCTGGGCCTAAGGAGATGGCCTCTTTCTTGGACCCTTTTATTTCCTCCTCTCCAGGGACCTCCAACATAATCGAATCCACCAGCTTCAGGACAAGCAGTTCATTGGCTTCCAGAGCCTGGAGGGACTGTGAGTAGAGCCCTGGAGGCTTTGCCTTTCCGCTTGGCTGCCCCCTCAGCCCTGGCTGAGCCATCCTTCTCAGCCTTATATTACTATTATGTCCAGCAGAGGGTACTTCTCCTCCCACCCCTGTGCTAGGTTCTTCCCTAGTACTGAGGTGTGCCTGTGTGGAATTCTGGGAGGGGTGCCTGTGCCTTTGCATACACCTGGGTTGTTGACTGCGTCTGACAGTGCACCCAGGCTTCTGGCCTGCACACCTGTATCTCACTGCCTGCTCCCACTCACCCTAGTGACAGATAGGACCTCTGCCTTGGTGGGTGTGAAGCTGGATCTAGGGGTCAGAGAGTACAGGGGTGTAGGGGAGGGCAGGTTCTCTGGCCCTTCACCATTTTGCTGCCTGTGGCCATGGCCCCATGGGTTTCTCCCATCTCTCCTTCCCCCTTGCTACTTCACAGCCCTCTGTCCCTCTGGTCAGCCCAAGGGCCCTCTCTCCCTAAACCCCCTCCCTCTTGGAGCTTGAAGAAACTACCGCAAAAGGGAGATCTCCCCTTGTGGACCTGAAGCTTTGGCAGGGACGATGGCAGGTGTTCTTTCGGGATATGGGGCCAGTCTTCAGTTCGCAGTTCCCTAGGCATTCTGGGGAGCCAGAAGCTGAGCTTCTTCCCAGCCCAGCTCCAGCCAGACTAAGTCAAGTCAATGAGCATTCGCTAAGGTACTAAACTCTGGGAATGCAAATACAAGCCCCAAAAGGAGGCAGTCTGAGCCCTCAAGGAGCTTACGGTCTAACAGAGGAAGACAATATATCAAAGAGAGCTTGGGGAAAGTGCCCCAGAGGGGCTTGGTGGAGAGGCAGAGGCAGGAGCAGGGGCAGAGCCCAGAGAGAAATGGAGTGAGCGTGGCTGGCCTGGGTGCCTTCCTTCAAATGGAGGTCTGAGAGCAATTGACTAGTCAGAGGAAGGGGCCAAAGGCATCTTCAAGGATGAGGAAGCTGTTGAATCATGGCGAAGATAAAGTTCAGAGTTGAGAGTGGAGCCCAGAGATGATGAAGGACCAAGAATAGATTGGCTACTGTGGAGGGGGGGGGCGTGGCAAGTAGAAAGGGGGGGTTCTGATTGGAGGGTCACTGGGAACAGGTGACCTTTGAGAGAAAAGAAGCTTGGTGGGGATGAGGGGGGGGGCAGGGGGGTGGGGAGGGAGGAACACATGCATGCTGTCTCCATGCATGCAGAGCATCACCATGTGGAGGGAGGCATTGGCTTGTCTTCTTGGGCCCAGAAGGCAAAGCACAGGTGGATGGTGCAGAGAGACTGATTTTGGCTTAGTTGGAAGAAAACTTGCGTTGGAAAAAGAGCTCTCCAAAGTGGGCTGCCTTGGGAGTGATTGAGATCCTCACTATTCTGGGTCTGTCCTCAAGAGGAGACTGGGTGCTGTCTTGTCAGGACTAGTGCAGAAGCAATTCCTGTTCAAGTAGTAGACGCCTCTAATGGCCCTGCTACCTCAAAGAGTTGGTGAACCTTCCCCATCCCTAGAGCTCGAGCAGAGGCCAGATGACTGCGTAGGAGCTTCTTCTGGTGTAGGGTGGACTGGGTGAAGTCCCTGGGGATTCTGGGCTGAGAGATTTGAAATTGAGCCCAATATGTACCTCACAGCCTCAGTGGATCTCTTCAGTGTGGCTAGATCTTCCACCAGCGCAGGTCACACCTGCCCCTTGGCTTTCTGTCTGTGATTTATGTCCGTGCATTCTCACAAACCCTCCCAAAAGGCTCTTCCTAACTTGACTGAGGCCTTCTAAGCTCTTTAGATATCACCATTGGTCGGGCTACAGTATGGACCTTTGGGCTGCCCATCTCATATTCTTTGCTCTTCTCACCCGACCTAACCACTTCCCTTCCTAATGATTCATTTCCTGGATGACATATTCCATGCCACTCCTGGCACACAAGCCATCTTTGGGAAGACGTGAGGAGCCTGATTACATGCCCCAAGCCCCACTGCCATGGTCTCTCACTACCTACAGTCTGGATTCTTGAGAGTGGTGATATTTACAGCCACATAGCCTCACTAGGAGAAGCTTGGGCTCACTGAAGTTTTGTACAGTTTCTCAAACCCAACCTCTAGTCCCACTCTGGGCATCCATAGTGACACTGGGGAACCCTTGACTCGTAACATGGGGGCCTCCCTGTTGTATGTTGTTTGATCATTGTTGAATGAAGTTATCTCTGAGACTGCACCTATCAAGGAATCTTGTGTCAAGTAACCATCTACATTGGAGACCCTTGTGGAGGAGGCTGCATCCTGCTCTACCAAAACCAAATGTGTTTTTGAGGTCAGGAAACGGAAAACTTCCTAGGATCTTGGAGCCTCAATCAATAGTATGACTATTAAGACGTGGTTGGCTATAGACATTTTTTTTTTACAAAAGCCTGACTGTTGCCTTCGTATATTTGCCTTAAGGATAACCTAGTGGGAAGAGCAGGTGGAGGCCACTTTCCAAACAATTTTCTAGAAACAAAAAAGTGACATAGAGCTCAGTGGCCCGTATCTTCTCAGGCATCCTTTTGTCGTTAGTCTATCCATGATTGTTTCCATTCCTTTAGCATCTCTCCCTCTTTGACAGATCCTGAAAATTGATTCTGGAGCACCTTCCAAATTGTGCTGCATGAAATGTGATTTCTTCTGTGCTTTCTTGGTCATGCTCCCCCATGCTAGCTGACTTCATCTTTTTAAATGCCATTCCCCCTTCCTCATGAGCATCAAGCAGTGAGGTCTTAGAGTCCAAATGTGGTGGCTTCACTGCCACTGATGATGAGAATCGATTTCTGTAAAGTATTTCATTGTGTCTTTGTTTTCATCTTTTCAGATTGATCGACAAATGCTTTGTGGTATGACTCAGTTGGGTTTCCTAACAAGCTTTCTGTCGGCTCCTTTTCCCTCCACTGCTTTTCACCATTATGTGAATCTTCCACTTTCCTTGGCTTCCACATATTTCACTTGATGAGTAGATCAAGTCTTTGCTGATGTAGTTTCTATTCTTTCAGCTTTCTCACTTATTTGGTCTAAAGAGAGGCAATAATCAGAGTCAGTATCTTTATTTTTATCAGTTTTACGTTTTTCAGAGTGAACAACTTGTTCAAATGGAAACCACTGCAATTGCCTTATCTTTTTAGTTTGGGAGCCATTAGCCCCAGCTAATTCATGGTCTGTCAATAGAAAGGTGCTTCTGACATGACCCCCCCATCCATAATCAGCCATTCTCTGGTATAGTCGATATGCTCTTCAGGGCTCAGCCCATCTGGCAACTTCAAACTCTTCTTGAAGAGAACGTTCGCTTGTGCAGCTCTAAGTATTCTGAGTCGTCTGCGAGCTTCAGCATCTTTCATTTCCAAATCCTAAGCCATGTTTCCCAGTCTTCTTTTTCTCCCTTCCCATGTGGCTGCCTTTGTGTGAAGATCACCAAGCACCAAGGGGGTATATGTTGATTTGGTTTGGACTTAGTCAAATCCTTCCTAGCTTTCCTCCACTTTTCCATCCACAGTTATCTTCATTGTGTTCATCTTCCTCAGCCTCTTCATGAGAGCTATAACTAAGGGTCCTGTGAAATGAGTACTCGTTTCCTCTGGCCATTGAGCACCCAGTGAAATCAACTCCTTTGCTTCTCTTCTTTGAAGCACCCTTCCATTTGGCAGCATCTGTTTATCTGTTTTTCTGGCTCCTGGTTCATATCTAGCGAGAAATGTCAATATGGACATGCTTCAGTTCCTCTGGTAGTATTTCAACATGATGGTCGTTGAACAGAAATTTCCCAGTCAGAAGACCAGAAGTTAATGCTTTGTGCATAATGTTAAGAATCGCACCATTTTTAGACTCTCCTCCTCTTTTTCCACCTCTGGATTGGGGCTCATTTTATATTTTTTTTATCTTTTTACCTTCACAACATCTCTCATATGCGTCCCACATTGTCGCCTCTCCCCTAGACTATTTCAGCAGCCTTCTGGTCGGCCTCCTTGCCTCAAGTCTCTCTCCACTCCAGCCCCATTCTACAGCCAACTGACAAAGTGATCCTCCTAAAACCCAGCTGTCACCATGTCGCTGCCCTTCTCAATAAACTCCAATGGTTCCCTAGTGGTTCCAGAATCAAATAGAAAATCATCTGTTTGGCTTTCAAAGCCCTTCACAACCTGGTCTCTTCCTACATTTTCTGTCTTATTACACCCTCCTCCTCTCTGTGTACTTTACAATTCAATGACACTAGCGCCTGGGTGTTCTTTGCATACCAACCTCCATCTCCCAACTCTGAGCATTTTCTCGGGCTGTCGCCCATGCTTGGAATGCTCTCCCTCCTCAGCTCAGTAAATTCCAATGATTCCCTACTGCCACCAAGATCAAATAGAAAATCCTCTTGGGGGCTTCTGAAGCCCTTCATGCCCTACCCCCTCCTCCTTTTCCAGTTTTCTTGCCCCTTACTCCCTGACATATCCTCCTTGATCCAGTGATACTGGCCTCCTGGCTGTTCCACCAACAAGACCCTTCACCTGCCAACTTGGGGCATTTTCTCTGGCTGTCCCCCAGGCCTGCAATGCTCTCACTCCTCATCTCTGCCTCCTGGCTTCTTTCAAGTCCCAACTCAAATCCTACCTTCTTTAAGAGATTTATCCTGGTCCCCTTTAATGTTGCTGTCTTTCTGTTGATTCTTTCCACTTTATCTATATCTTGTTTGTACCTAGTTGCTTGCATGTTGTCTCTCCCATTAGAATATGAGCTTTTTGAGGGCAGGGACTGGTTTTGCCTTCCTCATCATACCCAGCCCTTAGCACAGGGCTTGGTACATAGTAAGTACTTACTAAGTGCTTATTGACTTCACTTCCTGGGGAAGCCAAACTCATCTGGGTCCCTGAAGTAGGGAGCACTAGACCCACCCTATGTGGGCATCGACCTTAGAAACCATTGAGTCCAAACCCCCTTATTATACAGATGAGATAACTAAGGCCCAGAAATGGTAAGCAACTCCCCGAAGGTCACACAGCCAGTAAGTCAGGGAGGCAAGATTTGAACCCGGATTTTCCAATTCTAAAGCCAGGGCTCACTCTGCCTCTGTACTGCCTCTGAGCCTGGGCTGCCCTGGGGTGGAGCAGAGGGTCCCACCACAAGCTCTCAGCCCCTTTCTTTTGTCCACCAGCTTCCTGCAGAACAATGAACTCCATTCCATAGCCCCTGGGGCATTTACTGGCTTAGCTGAGCTAAGAAAGCTGTGAGTAGTCCCTCCTTGGATGGATGGGGATAGAGAAATGGGGGCAGGGGGGAATGGGTGGTGGACTGACTTTCCTGGGTGAACCAAAGCCGACTAGGAAGAGAGAATCGTGTGCCTAGGCATGTGCATAGGGCACAGGAGAAGAGAGCAGTAGACTAGGTCTTCCTCAGATTTGGAGTGGGCTGTGGGAAGGGGCCAGAGAGACAAAGAAGGGGCCAAGGACTGGACCATACCAGATTGAGAAAGCTGTGAGTGTCCCTTCTCTGGTTGGGAAATGAGGTTTGGACCCCAGGCATAATGGGAGCCCAGTTTGGCTTTCTCCCTATGGCTATCGTCATTGGCCCCAGCCTGGGCACTAAAGGCCAGGAGGAGGGCAGGGGTGGGGTGGTCCTGGCTGGGGCCTTGCCCCTAACTAAGACCCTGTCTCTCCCTGGCCTCAGGTTCCTGAGTCACAATCGGATCCACTCCCTGGCTCCAAGACTCTTCCAGGACCTCTGCCACCTGGAATGGCTGTGAGTTACCGGAGGGAAGGGCAGGAGAACCTGGGGGTCAGGAGGCAATCAACTAGGGGAAGCAGAGACAACTGAGTTGGGCTTGGCTCTTGCTGAGCCCAGCTGCCCATGGTAGAGGGGAGGATGGGATAGTGCTTGGGTCCCATCTCCATTTTGAATTTACTGTCAACTCCAGAATGGGTCCTCTCTGAAACTTGGGTGTACCCAATGCACAGATGCCAGCCACAGATCCCTGTGTGAAGGTGGGAAAAAAACCCCACTGGTTAGGGAATATGGTCCCTCTATCGTCTTGCCTACTGGGCTGGGTCCCTGGTACCTCCCTTTGCCTTCTGTTTCTCTCCAGGATGCTGGACAACAACCAGATCACCGAGTTGCCACCTGATGCCTTCCTGGGGCTGAAGTCCCTGTACTTTCTGTGAGTTCTAGTCATGACCCCCTTGAGGTGCTAGAGCGCCCTGGGGAGCACAGACAATGTTTGTGTATATGTGGGGGGGTGGTGCATGTGGGGGGAAGGGGCCACACTGGAGAAGGGAGGGCTCAGCACACAACTGGTCATTCAAGAAGACTGCTCCGCTTTGCTCCATGCACAGAACCACAGACATCGCTTCCCCCGGTCCTTTGTGCTTGTCAAGACTGGCTGGTTCCTGAAGGCAGACACAATGGCTTGTGCTGTGGATCCCCCAGGGCAGTTTCGCACCAATCATTTCTTCATTCCTTCCTTCATTCCACAAAGCTCTTGTCACTTCTTCCAAGGCTCAGTGCTCAGTGCTAAGAGGGAGACAGGAATGAATAGGGCCTAGTCCCTGACCACAAGAAGCTCAAGTCTCTAAGGGGGTAAGACAAAGAACTGGGCTGCAAACATGGTGATTAGTGCCCAAGACAACAACATGTGGGGAGATCTCGAAGGAGGGAGGCATCGCTTCCTGCACTATGAGACCAAAGATGGTGTTTGAGGAGAGCCTTGAAGGAGAATATCACAGCCCGGGAACCAGGGATTGAGGTGATTTGGGGGACATAGGGTTAGTCTAGGGGCCCAGTGGGAGCTAGAAAGCAGGCTCCCATGCCAGCCAAAGGCACTGCATGAGTGCCGGATCCAGGGAATGTAGCTGGTGAATACGTGAGCGATGCCACCCATGTCTCACCTCCTCACGATGTCGAGCTGTCGCTGCCTCTTACCGCACACCCGCCGGGCTGGCTCTCACCCTACACCTGCCATTGTCTGCCATTGTGTGATCAATCGGCTTTCCCTGTATGAAATTTGCTACTGTCTGTAGTTGTCTGCCTGTCACTGTATGCTGCGCCGCACCTAGGAGTTTTGGCATTTGGGGCAAGTTCCATTTTACTGGGGGGAAGGAGGGTAGAGCGTCTAGAGTGTCACTTCTGTTCAGCACATGGCTCAAGTCGACCAGAGTCATAGGTCCAGTGAGTTTAGGAGGCCGAGCTGTATCTAGGATCTAGACAGGACAGAGTGCTCTTGTTGTGTTGTTGGGTAGCGGTGGAAGAGGGAGGGTCCCAAAGGAGCAGTGGGGTGCAAGAAGGAAGCCAGATCCTCCTCCTGGTCCTAGATGTCAGGGGACCAGAGAGAAGAAAGACAAGCCTTAAAGGAGGTACCAAGAGGTTCCATATCTTCAAGAGAAAGGTAAGTTTTTAGTGAAGGCACGTCAGAGGCCAAGATGTAGGATGAAGGGCATTCCTGAAGGTGCAGTGGAAAGGGAGGGCAGAGAAGAGGAGGGACTGGGGATGACTAGGGGGGAGCTGGGCAGAGGCCACAGTTGGGCAGAGCTGGCAGGGGAAATGAGTTCTGAATCCCGGGGATCAGAGGAGCAGGAGGTAAGAGTTTGCATGGGGAACAGCCAATGTGGAGAAGCTGAATCATCCCCAAGGCTCAAATTTGAGTACCCGCCAGGGCCTCTCCTCCTCGACTCTGAAACAGGAAGAATACTCACTATTAACAGTTTAGGGTGCAAGTCACACAAAGGCTTGATTTTGTCCTTAGTTACAAAGCAAGGCAGAGAGAAGCATTGGTTGGCAAGTGGCCTTCTGGGGATGAGTCATTTCCCACAGGTACCAAGAGTACATGGAAAGCACGCGCTCATGCTGGGTCACCAGCCTTAGAGACAGTCTGTTGTGTTCCAGGGCAGAGTCTGGCACTGGCCTCGGGGGCTCACACAGAGGGGGCTCTCTTAGTTTTTTGGTTGTTCTTGTTCAAGAAGGCAAAATGAGTGCTGGGGATAGGCGGGTTCGCCCACTTATTCTAAAATGGAGTCACTCACGTCAAGCCCCCTCCGCCACCACAATATTGACGGTTATAATAATTGATGGAAACTTGTAGAATACTTGGTCTGTGCAGGGCAGTGTGCTCAAAGCTGTGGAGACCAAGGGAGATGCTCTGTACCCTCAGGATGGTGAGCATTTGCGTGCCATGGGCCTCCAGGCCAAGTGGAAGGCCTCAGTACTCTGGAGCTTGGCAACAAGAAGCTAGCTGAGGGGCCAGCACCAGGAGAGAAAATGTGCCTCCCAAATGATGGCACCTGGGACATATCCCCAGTCACCTCATGCTCGTTCCAGTTTTGCCTGCATGCCATTTTACTCCCACAGTCCCTCTGTTGCCTCTCACCAAATAGCGTGGGATCATAGGATCAGTGTCATAAGGGACCTTAATCTAATCCCTTAGTCTTATCGAGGAAGAAACCTCCAAGAAGTGAAGGACTTGCCCAGAGACACACGGGTATTCACTTGGCAGGGTCAGGATTCAAACCCAGGTCCTTGTACTCCAAATTCAGCCCTCTTTCCACTGCTTTCCAATGTATATCTACTCTTGATTGTCTGGCTGGCACTACCTCTCATCATACATCTGTCATGGCTCCCATTTGCCAGGTTCTAGCTTGGTGTGGTGTTGCTGAAGTATACTCTCTGCCTTTGTGTATTGACTATTTCCTATCGTCTGTTGGTTTTTTAACTGTCTGCCATTGTAATGACATTGACCCAGAATCACAGACTCTCAGAAATTGCGTGCTAGACGGACCTCCGGACCTATCTAGTCCAGTGAATGAGCTGGCAAGGGCCCTTCGGCATTGGCCACTGTCTCGGCTGCGTCTTTGCCATTGCCTTCGCAAGTCTGACTGTGCGCTGTCATTGATCGGCCCCTCATTTGCTGTCATTGTTTTCCTGTGTCTGATAATTCACGGTGGCTCCAGCCCATTACTTGTCTGTTCTCATCTGCCTAATACAACCCCACGAGGTTACACGGCTCAGAAGTGGCAGTAGGGACTCTATAACAACAATAATCAAAGCTGGCGTTTCTAGAGCGCTTGAAGTCCTACAAAGTGTACGACAAATACTATCTCGTTTGATCTTCACAGCAACCCTGGGAGGTAGGTGTCATTATAATCTCCATTTTACAGTTGGGGAAACTGAGGTGGACAGAGGTGAAACGACTGCTCAGGGTCTCACAGCTGATTAAGTGTCTGAGGCTGGATTTGAACTCAGTTCTTCCTGACTCCAGGCCCAGTGCTCTCTCTGCACTGCACCATAGGTCCCAGGTTCTTCTTAGTTGACAATACCCTGTTTGTCTGCCTGTGTCCATCTGATGTCGGCTCTCTGCTTTTGTCTTTGTCCCTCTGCCCCTGTTTAACTGCTCTTCCTTCCTCCCTTCCTGTCACTGAGCTCAGCATTGTGGAATTTACAATCAATGCCTGCCCTCAAGGAACTTCCTTGTGACCTGAGTAACAGCTGCCCTAGTGATCTCTCCAAAGCAATGATTTTAGACTCCGCCACTTCCCTGCTCCATAAACTCCCAGCTAGAGGACTGAGGCAGCCACTCCTCCCTTTGGCCTTTTTGGCCTTTGTGTCAATGTCCGTGGGATGCCCAATGTCCACAGGCCCCACACAAGGCCAGGCATCCAGGCAGTCAGTGTTATCAGGATGCAGTGAAAGAGCCTTTCCATGCGGAGTGATGAGAGCTAGAGATGACATGAGCTCAGTGAGGGAGTGGGGGTGGGGGGTGGGGGATGGGGCAGGCACCAATTCTAAGCTAAGACCCTTGTCAGAGGAAAACAAGGAACTGGCCCTTTGCCATCTAATTTGGTCGTGATCTAAGGAACAGGGAATATTAAAGGGAAGCTTAGATAGATCAGATTGGGCCTTGAAATGCTACCATCAGGCGTTTAAGCTTGCTTTATCCTATAGACAATGAGGAGTCATTGAGGGCTTCTGAACAGGGGAGTGACTTGATCAGAACTGGAAATGGATTCCATTCCCTTCAACAAGTACTAATTTAGGACTCAGCATGTCTAGGGCTGTAGGTATGAAGGTCAAAGGAAAAGTAGTTCCTGGCCTTCAGGAATTGGCCTTCCACTGGAGAACGCAGTGTTTATGCAATGGAGGAAGGCTACAGGGATGAGCCTTGAAGGAAACTCAGGATTCCAAGAAGCAGCTTCCAATGGGTCAGCACAGGTGGGGTTGCCCCTATATGTAGGCCAGGTGAAAGGTGCTCAGGCTTCCACCTAGCAGTGGAAGTAGCTGTGGAAATCAGGAGATAGCTGTGGAGGAGATCTTGTGGCACTGCGGATAGCAGGACTGAGCAGCTGGCCCAAGCCAACAATTCACAGGGCCTGGTTGACTAAAAGGCTAGAGCTCCCAATTCCAGGGATGGGGAAAGGCCAAAGTCGGGGCAGGCATCGAGGTGCAGTCTATCCTGAGTGCAGTTTTGGCTGACTGTCCCTCTACTGTCCCCAGCTGGTGTCAGTCAGAGAGAGGTTAGGGCTGGACATGGAGATCTGGGAAGCTGCAGCCACACAAAGGAAATCATGGAGCCTGTGTGGGGGCCCATGAGCTCATAGAGGGAGAGAGAGGAGAGAAGGGCAGGGCGGTGGGGGAACCACCCTTTGATAAAGGGATAGTGAAAGGGCCAGAGAAGACCAAAGCCAGTAAGAGAATCCTCAGAAGGAGTGTGGGGGGGGTGGCTCTCTCAAGCTGACAGCACACACCCTCAAAGTGAATGAACCAGAAGAGATTAGCACAGGCTCAGCTCAGGGAAGATGGGGACTGCCTGAAGGAGTACTGGAGGGGAACTGGGGAGACAGCGGGGGGAATGATATGTCTATAAAAAAGAAAAGCGAATAAACCCTCCTTACAAAGGAAAACAATTAAAGGCAAGCACCTTGTAACCCTTAAAGTTCTCTGTAAGTGGGAATAAGTACAAGGAAGAAAAAGAGGGCAGTCAGCAGTACCGTGCTTCACGATGAGGCTGAGGAAAGAAGGGTGGGGGTGGGGAGCAAGTAGGGAGGGGAGAGAGACTGAGAGGAAGGGGGAGAGCAAGAAGGAGGGGAAAGAGACTGGGGGAGGGGGAGAGAGAGACAGGGAGAGGAGGAGGGAGGGGAGAGA